TGCACAGATCTGTATTAAAAAATCTGCAATAATCTGCATTTTCACAGGTTTTCACAGATCTGTGCCAAAAAAATTTTTCTGATGTAAAGTATCACCAACAAACGTCATTTTACATTCACTATACATTAGTTATTGTCTTTAGCATGCTTTTAGTAATTGTCATTTGGATCATCCTGAAATTTGCGAAAATTGTAACAACTTATTTGTTTTTTTTGATGAGCTAAAAGCAAATTTGGATGATGATAAGCTTCATAAATTTCTAATTGAACATCAGAATCAACTAATTTGTTTTATGGTCTATTATGCACGAAAAACATATCTAAATGCACAATTAAATATTGAACTTGCTCAGCTTGACATAGATAGGGTTTTGTTTATTATGGACTACAAAATAAGAATCCTTCTGCAAAGTGTATGAGAAACAAAACTTGAGTTTTTTGGAAAACGCAGCTGGACTCTCTATTCTGTTCTTATATATACAAAAAATGCAGAAACAAATAAGCTCAATATTCAAGTATTTAACTATTAGAGTAGTGATACCAAGCAAGATGCTTGGTTCACTGCATTCTTACTTTATGCTATCATTGAAACCCTAGATAAGATATTAAAATAGATTGCTATTGTTTCGGACAATGGTTCCTACTACCATAATACCGAGCTAATGATAATTCTAAGAAAATGAAAAGAATGGTATAGTGTTTCAGTGAGAAAATAGCTATTTCTTAAGGCTAGTGAAGCCAAAACCTTGATTGATTCTCATCATGTGCAAGTTCATAAAAAAAAAATAAAAAAAAAAAAATTTGAAGATATAAAGTCCATGTTATTTCTCCGACTATTATTTCTTCACAATAATTTTGCTGACATAAAATTTGATATTTCAGTACATAATTGTTAGTATCATTGATTTTATCAATATAATTATCATATCAGTAAAATGATTGTTGAAATAATTATCTGAGGAATGATATGGACCTGAAATTATTATTCTAACTTTTACAATTTTTCTAGATAACTCACGCTATTAAAAAATATATCAAATTTGGTCATGATATAAACTCAAGTAAAGACATTAAAGAGGTGATAAAGGATATAGCAGGAACACATATTGCTTATTTAGAACCAAATAGAAATTAACGTATATATAACCTTTTGAATTTATAACTTATAAATAAGAAGTAAATGTTATCTCTAATAATATAGGTAATAATGATGCAGCACTAGAAACAATAGCAGGAATCTGGAATTGGCATGAATGGTCTTGGCCTAATAATGAGACTGAAGCAGGGTATATTTATGCAAGATCTTTACTCAAAATTGGCCCATGGAAAAAATTTACGCCTGAAGCTATACAAAAAATTGTCAAAAAATGTGTCATAAAAAAACCTGAATCTACCATTACTACATACAGTCATCTGAGCAAATCTTGAAATATGCCAATACCAGAAATTCAAGGTTACGAAATTTATAATTTGGACCTTGTCAAAATTAAAAAATTTTCTATATCAAAAATTTTAATTTTAACTGATATATTGGATATGACTATTTTGCACTGCTTACATTATTTAGATTTTATTCAAAATTTTATTTCAAATTTATTAGGGTATTGTAAGCAGTGTTAAATAGTGATTTGAAATTCTATAATTCTATTTAGATCAGACCAATTTAAATTGCAGTATTGGTTATAATATTAATATATATTCTTTATTCGTTTATAAGTTACCTCATACTAAACAGAAAATCAAGTTGGTCTGGCAATAGGATTATTATCTGGTGCTTGATAAAATATGGTAATACTCCCTAGAAATCCTGTTTAATATTAACTCAAGTTGTATAATTTTATCAGTTTTGTCGAATGAAGATTTAGTGAATGAAGACAAGAACAATGATCTTGTATATAATTGCCAATGTTTTACTATACAACAGACACTAAAAATAGGCTGTTTATAATCTAGAAAACAATTGACTTAATCAATACAGCAGAAATAGAAACTTATACTGAATCTGAAGGGTTTATAGTTTTATTTTTGTGAATTTATCATTTTTAATAACTCAATTTCATACATTTACTCATGTTTTACACTTTCATCTACATCTATATTTATCATTTGTTGTCTACTTTTGCTCGTATTTTTCGCATCCATTTACATTCTACATTTCATTTCATTCATATATATTTATTTATATACTGTAAATTTTCACACGTTTAACTTTCATACTTTCACTCATATTTTTACTCATACTTTCGTTCACATTTTATAATTTACTTGGCATTTTCATCTATACTTATTAGTTTTCCAAATTTTGACTTATTTATTGTCTTTTTATTGCTATTTATTTTTACAACCCTATTGAATTCTTTCGCTATTTATTTTTATTTATTTTTATTTATTTATTTTGATACAATTGCCTATATCTTATACTTATCTATTTCTAATGTTTTCGTTCATAATCTATATCTACTCATACCTTTTATATTCTCATATTTATTATTCCATTCTTAATTTTTCTAATTTTTTCTTACCTTCGCTCTTCTTTGCTTTTTCTCTTTACAATTCTTTCTTCTGCCTCTGATACCTTTTCTTCCTTCTTATCACATATTTACCTTTGCCCTATTAATTTTACTTTTTTGAAAACACTTTAGTAATTCTTGTTGTATTTCATCTGCAGACATCTTGTTTTATAAGGATGCAGTTCTAGTATAAAACATAACTTTCAATAAACTTCTTACTTAAGAGGTAAGGCGTTTTACTGACACTTTGCTTTTCTTTTACTTTTTTTTAAGACACCAGCCGGCAACAAATTTTTGGTAACTAAAAACAATATAAGTAAAGAATGAAGTAAAGGACGAGGTGAAAAAGTAACAAAAAGAAAATGAAATTAGAAAAGGCATCAAAGGTGAAAGAAAAAATCATAAAAAAAGTGAAAAAAGAAGGGCAAAGGTAAATATGTGATAAGAAGGAAGAAAAGGTATCAGAGGCAGAAGAAAGAATTGTAAAGAGAAAAAGCAAAGAAGAGCGAAGGTAAGAAAAAATTAGAAAAATTAAGAATGGAATAATAAATATGAGAATATAAAAGGTATGAGTAGATATAGATTATGAACGAAAACATTAGAAATAGATAAGTATAAGATATAGGCAATTGTATCAAAATAAATAAATAAAAATAAATAAAAATAAATAGCGAAAGAATTCAATAGGGTTGTAAAAATAAATAGCAATAAAAAGACAATAAATAAGTCAAAATTTGGAAAACTAATAAGTATAGATGAAAATGCCAAGTAAATTATAAAATGTGAACGAAAGTATGAGTAAAAATATGAGTGAAAGTATGAAAGTTAAACGTGTGAAAATTTACAGTATATAAATAAATATATATGAATGAAATGAAATGTAGAATGTAAATGGATGCGAAAAATACGAGCAAAAGTAGACAACAAATGATAAATATAGATGTAGATGAAAGTGTAAAACATGAGTAAATGTATGAAATTGAGTTATTAAAAATGATAAATTCACAAAAATAAAACTATAAACCCTTCAGATTCAGTATAAGTTTCTATTTCTGCTGTATTGATTAAGTCAATTGTTTTCTAGATTATAAACAGCCTATTTTTAGTGTCTGTTGTATAGTAAAACATTGGCAATTATATACAAGATCATTGTTCTTGTCTTCATTCACTAAATCTTCATTCGACAAAACTGATAAAATTATACAACTTGAGTTAATATTAAACAGGATTTCTAGGGAGTATTACCATATTTTATCAAGCACCAGATAATAATCCTATTGCCAGACCAACTTGATTTTCTGTTTAGTATGAGGTAACTTATAAACGAATAAAGAATATATATTAATATTATAACCAATACTGCAATTTAAATTGGTCTGATCTAAATAGAATTATAGAATTTCAAATCACTATTTAACACTGCTTACAATACCCTAATAAATTTGAAATAAAATTTTGAATAAAATCTAAATAATGTAAGCAGTGCAAAATAGTCATATCCAATATATCAGTTAAAATTAAAATTTTTGATATAGAAAATTTTTTAATTTTGACAAGGTCCAAATTATAAATTTCGTAACCTTGAATTTCTGGTATTGGCATATTTCAAGATTTGCTCAGATGACTGTATGTAGTAATGGTAGATTCAGGTTTTTTTATGACACATTTTTTGACAATTTTTTGTATAGCTTCAGGCGTAAATTTTTTCCATGGGCCAATTTTGAGTAAAGATCTTGCATAAATATACCCTGCTTCAGTCTCATTATTAGGCCAAGACCATTCATGCCAATTCCAGATTCCTGCTATTGTTTCTAGTGCTGCATCATTATTACCTATATTATTAGAGATAACATTTACTTCTTATTTATAAGTTATAAATTCAAAAGGTTATATATACGTTAATTTCTATTTGGTTCTAAATAAGCAATATGTGTTCCTGCTATATCCTTTATCACCTCTTTAATGTCTTTACTTGAGTTTATATCATGACCAAATTTGATATATTTTTTAATAGCGTGAGTTATCTAGAAAAATTGTAAAAGTTAGAATAATAATTTCAGGTCCATATCATTCCTCAGATAATTATTTCAACAATCATTTTACTGATATGATAATTATATTGATAAAATCAATGATACTAACAATTATGTACTGAAATATCAAATTTTATGTCAGCAAAATTATTGTGAAGAAATAATAGTCGGAGAAATAACATGGACTTTATATCTTCAAATTTTTTTTTTTTTATTTTTTTTTTATGAACTTGCACATGATGAGAATCAATCAAGGTTTTGGCTTCACTAGCCTTAAGAAATAGCTATTTTCTCACTGAAACACTATACCATTCTTTTCATTTTCTTAGAATTATCATTAGCTCGGTATTATGGTAGTAGGAACCATTGTCCGAAACAATAGCAATCTATTTTAATATCTTATCTAGGGTTTCAATGATAGCATAAAGTAAGAATGCAGTGAACCAAGCATCTTGCTTGGTATCACTACTCTAATAGTTAAATACTTGAATATTGAGCTTATTTGTTTCTGCATTTTTTGTATATATAAGAACAGAATAGAGAGTCCAGCTGCGTTTTCCAAAAAACTCAAGTTTTGTTTCTCATACACTTTGCAGAAGGATTCTTATTTTGTAGTCCATAATAAACAAAACCCTATCTATGTCAAGCTGAGCAAGTTCAATATTTAATTGTGCATTTAGATATGTTTTTCGTGCATAATAGACCATAAAACAAATTAGTTGATTCTGATGTTCAATTAGAAATTTATGAAGCTTATCATCATCCAAATTTGCTTTTAGCTCATCAAAAAAAACAAATAAGTTGTTACAATTTTCGCAAATTTCAGGATGATCCAAATGACAATTACTAAAAGCATGCTAAAGACAATAACTAATGTATAGTGAATGTAAAATGACGTTTGTTGGTGATACTTTACATCAGAAAAATTTTTTTGGCACAGATCTGTGAAAACCTGTGAAAATGCAGATTATTGCAGATTTTTTAATACAGATCTGTGCA